TCAAACTTCAAGTATGTAAGAGTGTAAATTTGATTCAAATTCGGATGATTAATATTAGGGTCATTCATATCTAAGTACGAGAATTTAGGTCACCGCAAATGTAAACCGTCAACGTTGAAATCAAAATTGCACGCAACTTTCACGCGTCATAAAGCTAGAGAGCAAAATCGTGAAATCACTTAATGTCAAACTTTTAAGTCATGTGAAAATTGCGTGAGAGTTTAATGTCCACATTGACAATGTCCGTCACTTAGGGATCCATATTCATATATTTAAATAGGTTGGAGACCCAATACGACACTACCTTAAAGGTTTGGGAGTGTAGGCCTAATTTTACCTTAAAAAAAATTAAACTTCAAGTATGTAAGAGTGTAAATATGATTCAAATTCGGATGATTAATATTAGGGTCATTCATATCTAAGTACGAGAATTTAGGTCACCACAAATGTAAACCGTCAACGTTGAAGTTAAAATTGCACGCAACTTTCACCTATCATAAAGCTAGAGAGCAAAATCGTGAAATCACTTAATGTCAAACTTTTAAGTCATGTGAAAATCGCATGAGAGTTTAATGTCCACATTGACAATGTCTGTCACTTAGGGATCCATATTCATATGTTTAAATAGGTTGGAGACCCAATATGACACTACCTTAAAGGTTTGGGAGTGGAGACCTAATTTTACCTTTGAAAAATCAAACTTCAAGTATGTAAGAGTGTAAATCTGATTCAAATTCGGGTGATTAATATTATGGTCATTCATATCTAAATACGAGAATTTAGGTCACCACATGATGGAAACCGTCAATGTTGAAGTTAAAACTGCATGCAACATTCATGCGTCTTTAAGGTAGAGAGCAAAATTGTGAAACTTTTAAGTCATGTGAAGATCGCATGAAAGTTTAGCATCCACATTGACAATGTCTGTCACTTAGGGATCCATATTCATATATTTAAATAGGTTGGAGACCCATACCTTAAAGGTTTGGGATTGTAGGTCTAATTTTACCTTAAAAAAATCAAACTTCAAGTGTGTAAGAGTGTAAATTTGATTCAAATTCAGATGAATAACATTAGGGTGATATTTATGATTGATGTTTTGTTGAACCCATCACAAACTTTAGCAACTGCAAACTCAAAAATTTAACACAATAATTTATACTTAATATCAAAGGATCCGGGCAATAATGTTAAATGAAAAATGGAAATATACAGCAAAAGACCATGGTTACAAACATTTTCTTACTAGAAAAATATTAGAATCTATGTATTTGAGCATTGAGGGATTAATAAAAATGTAAAAATAACAAGGCACTTCACATACCGAAAACATTCTAATTAATAGATAGTTTAGTTTATGTGTATAAAAATAGTGGAAAGTGTTTAACAAACGTGTGTACCTACCTGACTTTGAATCTTCCCACATGCAGCCACAAAGTGTTTGGGACCAGCAAGATATCCAAGTCTCCAACCAGTCATAGCAAATGCCTGTGGAAGCCACATTAGAGTGATGCCTGATGATTAACAATGTCGACCACGAGTCCATTTGACGACCGAAAGGAAGAGAAAGCAATACCAATTATTGGCATGGACTCTTTCAAGTGGTCAAGTAAAATTACCTTTGAAAAGCCATTTACAGTTAGAGTTCGATCCCACATGCCGAGTAAGGATGCAAAGCTCGTATGAATTGCTGGAGCATAAATAACGTGTTCATAAGTTTCATCAGAGAGCACCTAAAAAGGAGCTCAAAATAAGTTCACTCTTGAAAATAGAGGTACTTTAACCATGCATCAAGGCGTATTGCTTGGCATCAAAAGTATAGATTTAGTAAACCTACCAGAAGCCTGGGGTGCCTTGCTACAATCTGAGCAATCTCTTCAAGCAATTCACGTGGATAAACAGACCCTGTTGGGTTGGATGGAGAGCAAAGAATCAACAGCCTTGACTTCTCACTGAGTTTTGATTCAAGAAGCTTTGGATCTAAAAGAAAATTTTCAGATATGTGGGTATTAAGAATCACAGGGTTTGCATCAGCCAGCCTCGCCATTTCAGGGTAGCTTACCCAATATGGAGCTGGAATTAGAACCTATACAAGCGAAGATGCTAGTAGTAAGCTGGCAATCTTCGAAGGTAATATTCATAAGCACTAATTAATATCTCTATGAACTAGCTTCGCATGATATTATGAAAAGATGCCTACAAGCAAGTATTTCATCCACATTTTTCATCTTACTAGCTTAATGGAGATAGAGGCGAGGTAGGGGAGAATGAAAAAGAGAGCATGCTGGTAAGGCTAAAATGAGAGAGAGAGTGTGTGTGTGTGAGAGAGAGAGAGAGAGAGAGCTAAGAACTTGTTAGAAGTCTTGAAAAGTGCTTTCTAGGTAAACTGCTATCTGTATGGTTTCCTTGCAATTGTATTTCACATGATCCAAATAGAGTTTGTTGAGAAACCAACTTGTAAACCATAGTGGGTGCCAACATTAGATCCTATAGAATATTGTTGGCCTTTTCTATTGGAGCAACTCTAAGCCAACCCAAGCAACTTGATGCATGGGTAATAATGCAACAAGGAAAAGAGCCAAAAATCTACTCAATGCAAATGACTAAGAATAAGTAGAATTTTTGAATTTATCTAGATTATAGTAGTTTTTATTTGATAGGAGTTCGATATTCACAATGTTATCCTTCATTTCAAAATTATTTAGATAAAAAGTTTATTTAGTTTCAAAGTCCATTCTCTACATAAAGGGACTTAGGGCAATGTTTATGAATAAAACTATTCCTCTTTCTCTCTATTCTCTCTTTGATCCCTTTTTTCTTTTCATTATCTTGTTCTTTATCAAATTTCTATGCTCCTGCGACAGGTCCAGTTAGAGAGACCATAATTCTAGTATGCAGCTTGAGGGAAAAGCCTTCAAACCAAGAAGGGTGATAGGGGGAGCGGGTGTTGCAACCACCCACCAAAAATTTGGTATACTCTATTTTCCACATTATAAAATTCAGTTCTCGATAAAATATGAGAAAAATGATTTCTTACTCCCCGCCAAACCAAAAAAAAAAAAACTCAAGAAGTTGAGAATAATATAATGGTCCCTCATATACATCCCTTACACATTTTTACCCAGCAAGTACAGCTTCCACGTCTACCACAACTTCAAGTTTCACCTAGACTTGTCAACTTGTGAAAAGTGATGTTGATTCAGTTCTCCTACTTCCATTTCTCAATAATATTTTGACGTACCATTCTTGCTGAAAAGCTGAAATAATTAACTTCCAAAATAGCCAGGATAGAAATAAAAAGAGAGGCAAATGTTTAGAAATTTATGTTTACCTCATCTCCTGGGGAACAAACTGCAAGAACTGCCTGAAGAATACTCTGCTTTGCACCATTGCTCACCAAAATCTGATCAGGAGTGTAAGATATTCCATTTTCCTCTGCCATAAAAGAAAATTAATAGAAGAAAAGAAAGAGATCAAAAAAAACAAAAAAAAGTTGTGTACTTCGTGACAAAGTACCTTCCAGCTTGTGGCAAATAGCTGAACAGAGTTCTAAAGTGCCCACATTAGGAGTATACCTTGTGTATCCTTCCTGAATTGCACTAATTCCTGCCTAAATTTCAAGAATATAAATATAGAAGTAGATAGAGCAATGCATATTAATTCTGTTGATTGGAAGATTAACGCCATTTTCAAAATCACCTCAGCTATTGCTGCTGGAGTATCAAAATCCGGTTCACCAGCTGCTAGTCGAATAACAGGCACACCAGCTTGTGCAAGTGCAGTTGCCTGATCAGTTATAGCTACAGTCTTTGACGGCTTCACTGAATTTACTCTGGGGCTCAAAGAGATATCAACCCCCGTTGTGCCTGAATTGCTTTCTGTCTTAACTGCTGCACTAATTCTTTGGGAATGTAGTTGTCTCGTTGTTGACTGTGAAGATCTATCCAGATATAAAGACAAATTTAGATTTATAGACAAATTTGTAGTTGTCTCGTTGTTGACTGTGAAGATCTATCCAGATATATAGACAAATTTAGATTTATAACTGCATCTTCTAGCACTAAATAAACAGAGAAAAGTCTGTTTAACGTCAAGTGACCATTAAGGTTGGAGTTGCTAAATGGGATAATTAGGTCATACAGCCATGGCTAGTCGATGTAGACTCATAACCAGAGTTAATCACAGAACTTGATTTCCAATTCAAACTGTTAATATTCTACAACAGAATAATAGCCATTCTAAATAGTCTAAGCATCAAAATGGTAACAGAATGAACATTGTGTCAATACTGATGAAGACAATGATCCCATTAATGGTGGCAATGAAGCAATCAATCACCGGAATTAAGCAAATCAATATTACAGATATATTGCTGGAGAAATCAGCATCAAATATGTATAGGTAGCAAACAATTTACATATTTGATTTAGCCTTTTATAGCTCTTAGAATCATGGATTTCCATATAAGATTTGCCCAGTATTTTTTATATAAGTAGCTGAATATCAATGAATTACAACATAGCTTCCAATTCTAATTATTCTACAGACACTTTCACATTGACCTCATCATTAAAGTTGATATTAATGGTTATTGCATATTTTAAGATTACTCTATAATTCACTAGAATTGCCTTGGGGAACAAAACAATAAGTCCCTAAAATTTCTTGATAAGCAAGCACAAATAGAAATTTAAAATTAAAAAATAAATTTTTTTTAGAATGTCTTGAAAAACAAGTAATAAAATAATGGAAAATCAGAATTTTCAAGAATAGTTTCCACCACCATTTTGTGTGTATAAACGGGGCTACCACCTTCAAAATGCTGTAAAAAAAAATTGAAAGAGCTTTGTAAAACTTTAATAAAATTACTTTCTTCCTCCTTCAACTATCTTGTTCAATTACATTACTCCTATCATTTTTATCCCACATAAAATCTACTTAACCACTTCTATCTAAACCCATTTATTTCTTCTACTCAAAATAAAAAACCTTCAGTGGTATGAGAGCTACGTTCGATTAATATTGGGCGTAAGCAAATACTATGGCAGATGTTTTCTGTTCATCCATTCCTATTCCAATATTTAATGAAGACAACTATGATTTTTGGTCCATCAAAATGAAGACCTACTTTTGTGTGCAAAACTTATGGGATGTCATCAATGATGGGTATACTAACTCAAATGACATTCCCACTCTTTCTACAGTACAAAAGAAGGTACTTAAAGAGAATTAAGAAAAAGATTCTCTAGCACTATTGCTCTATAAATGAGTTTGACAGACACTTATTTTTCAAAAATTATGAGAGCTAAAATGGCAAAAAAAGCTTGGGATAAACTGAAGGAGGGGTTTCACAGCGGTGACAAGGTACACACTTGCTGTCTTCAAACTTTAAGAAGGGATTTTGAAAATTTAAAAATGAAATATTCTGAAATCGTGAATGATTATTATTCAAGAATAGATGAAATAGTAAATCAATTAATATCTTATGGAGATGATGTTCCTCAAAAGAAAGTCGTTGGAAAAACTTTAATTACTTGCACAGAAAAATATGATCCAATTATTGCAGCTATTCAAGAGTCAAAAGATATAGATAAATTGACAGCTGCAGAATCAATGGGTTCACTAGAAGTACATAAAAAAAGATTAGAAGGCTTTATGAGATTAACATGGAAAACACATTTCAATCTAAAGTTAATATGTGATTCTAGAAATCTAAAGAAGGTGGGAGAAAATTGTAAAAATAAAGAAATTCAAGGAAAAGAATTTGATAAAAATGGCAAGTATTCTTCATGTGGTATATGTAAAAGAAAAAGTCATTTGAAGAAAGATTATTGGTTTAAAGGGAAACCACAGTGTCGCCACTGTAAAAAAATTGGTCATGAAGAAAATTTTGTCGTTTTAAACAAAATCATCAAGCTAATTTCTCCGGAAAAAAGGATATAAAAGGAAGCCTATTTTATGCTACTAGCAAGGATGCGTCTGATGACAAACTAAATATGTGATATCTAGACAGTGGTTGTAGTAATAATATGACGAAAGATGAAAGTATTTTCTGTAGTCTTGATAAAATCAAGGCAAAAATCAAGATTGGCGATGGAAATTTATAGAGACAACAGGCAAAAGTACTATTGCCGTTAATACAAAAAAGGGCAAGAGATACATCATTGAAGTTCTCTTTGTCCCTAAAATAGACCAAAATCTACTAAATGTAGGTCAGATGATGGAGAAATGATATACTTTACACTTCATAGGAGATTCTTGCACGATCTATGACAAAAAGATAAATCTCTTATAATTGCAAAAGTCAAAAAAAGAGAAAATAGATGCTTTCCAATCCAATGGAGATACGTAAACAATGCAGCAATGACAGCACAAATGGACGAGTCATGGCTGTGGTATAAAAGATTTGGACATTTTCACTTCCACGGGTTGAAGATCCTGCATCGAAAGAGCATGATGAGAGACTTACCAGTCATAAAAGAAATTGATGCAGTCTGCGAAGAATGTTTGCTTGAAAAACAACATCGCCAACCATTTCCATCCGAAAAATTTTGGAGAGCTAAAAAGCCATTAGAGCTTATACATACAGATATTTGCGGTCTGATGCGTACTCCATCACATGAGCAAAACAGGTACTTCATTCTCTTTATTGATGACTACACTAGAATGACATGGGTATATTTTTTATGTGAAAAACCCTAAGTATTTGAGCTTTTTAAAAGGTTCAAAAGCCATGTTAAAAGGTAAAGTGGTTGCAATATCAAAACTATCTGAAGCGACAGAGGTAAAGAATATACATCAAATGAATTCAACAAGTTTTATGAAGATAAAGGAATGGAGCATCAACTCACAGTTGGATGCATGCCTGAACAAAATGGCATGTCAGAAAGAAAGAATAGAACAGTAATGGAGATAACTAGAGCTATGCTAATAGAGAAAAATATTCCAAAAATTTTTGGGCGAAAGTAGTAAGCATTGCAATCTACCTACTAAATCGATGTCCGACTAAAGTTGTGCAAGACAAAACACCAGTGGGAACATGGAGCGGACGAAAACCATCAGCAAAGCATCTCAGAGTTTTTGGCTGCATCTACTACACACATATTCCACAGGAAAAAAGAGGTAAGCTAGATGAAAAATCAGAAAAAAAGGAATCTTCTTAGGGTATAGTACTCAATCGAAAGGCTATCGAGTACATAGCCTAATAAAAAAAAAGCTAATTATAAGTCGAGACGTTAAGTTTGATGAAGATGCCATCTATAATTGGGAGACTGGCCAAGTCGAAAGAAAAAGCTATCATCATCCTAACACAACCACAAAAACAAGAGGGTGACGTTAAAGAGAACAATCAACTAGAGACCCTACAACAAGCAACTATAGGAAAACTAGCCGACTCACCATAATCGTCACCAAGAAAAACATGAAGATTATTGGAAATATATCAAAGTTGTACCTTGATGATTGTTGAACCTAAAAGCTATAAAATAGCATCAGAACAATCAGAATGGAGAAAAGCTATAGATGAAGAAATAAAAATGATCGAGAAAAATAACATTTGAGAGCTTGTAGATCTTCCTCAAGATAAAGAAGTTATAGGAGTTAATTGGGTTTACAAGACGAAGCTTAATACTGATAACTCAATCCAAAAATATAAAGCAAGAGTAGTCGCCAAAGAATACTCACAAGAGTTTGGCATCAACTACACTGAGACATTTGTTCCAGTTACACGTCTTGACGCTATAAAGGTGTTGATTGCACTAACTGCACATAAAAAGTGGAAGATTTACTAGCTAAACGTCAAATCAGCATTTTTTAATGGTTATTTGGAAGAAGAAATTTATATAGAGCAACCTCAAAGGTACGTGGTACAAGGTAAAGAAGATAAGGCTCTTAAATTAAGGAAGGCACTATATGGATTAAAGCAAGCTCCGCGAGCTTGGTACAACAGAATAGACAACGACTTTACTGAGCAAGGATTAAGGAGGAGCCAAAATAAACCAACTCTATACATCAAAAATCAAGGTACAAATAGTACACTTATAATCTCTTTATATGTTGATGATCTCATCTATACATGGAACGATGAGAAGATGATCGAGAAATTCAAGGCAAATATGATGACAACATTCAAAGATGACTAATCTGGGATTAATGCACTATTTCTTGGGATTGAGATAGCTCAATCTGAAGATAAGATCTTCATTACTCAGAAGAAGTATACCATTAGTCTATTAAAGAAGTTCAAGATGGAAGGTTGCAAAACAGTAGTAACACCCTTGGATATCAACAAATCTCTCAGAAAAGAAGACGATACTCCAAATTTGGACAACTCACAATTTCGAAGCTTAATTGGAAGTTCACTCTATCTCACAGCTACAAGGCCAAACATAATGTATGCAACCAGCATACTTTCATGATTCATACAAAATCCAAGTCAAATTCACTATAGAGCTGCAAAACGAATACTAAGATACCTCTAAGGAACAAAAGTCAGTCTTTGCCTGACTCAAGACTACTTGGGTATACTAATAGCAATTGTGTAGGAACAATAGATGATATGAAGAGCCCATCAGGTTACGCACTCACACTAGATTTTGAAATATTTTCTTGGGCATTAAAGAAACAAGCAACGGTTACACAATCATCAGGTGAAGAAGAGTATATTGCATCAACAATGGCAACAAGTCAAGCTATATGGCTAAAACGCATAATTGAAGACAGGGGAGAACCACAAGATGAAGCTACAGAGATTTACTGCGACAGTAAGTCTACAATAGCAATGACCAAGAATCTCACATTCCACAGCAGAACCAAACACGTTGGGATCAAAGACCATTTCATCATAAAAGCTGAAGCAAATAAAGAGATAGAGCTCAAACATTACAAGATTGAAGAACAATTAGCAAATATATTTACTGTTACCACTAGCAAAGTTTGAGTTACTACGAGAAATGATCGGAGTAATCAAAATATGCACCAATGAGGAGTATTGACAGCAGAACCAAACACGTTGGGATCAAAGACCATTTCATCATAAAAGCTGAAGCAAATAAAGAGATAGAGCTCAAACATTACAAGATTGAAGAACAATTAGCAAATATATTTACTGTTACCACTAGCAAAGTTTGAGTTACTACGAGAAATGATCGGAGTAATCAAAATATGCACCAATGAGGAGTATTGATGGTTGTAGAATATTTTAATATTACTCTAAAATTCACTAAAATTGCCTTGGGGGGCAAGAAAATAGAAGTCCCTAGCATTTCTTGATGAGCAAGCAAAAATAGTAATTAAAAATTAAAAAATAAGAATTTTCTAGAATAGTGTTCACCACCATTTTGTGTGTATAAATAGGGACTACCACCTTCAAAATTTTGTAACAAAAAATTGAAAAGAGCATCCAACCTCTTGCATTGTAAATCAAAAGCCACTTTGTAAAACTTTAATAAAATTACTTTCTTCCTCCTTCAACTATCTTGTTCAATTAAATTACTCCTATCATTTCTATCCTACATAAAATCTACTCAACCACTTCTATCTCAACCCATTTATTTCTTCTACTCAAAATAAAAAACCTTCAGTTGATTTTGGCTCTTTTAAGAGAAAATTATATGAATCCCATTATATTTGACAAACAAATTATATATAAAAAGTTTACCAAATGGATACTAAAAGCATGGTCAACCAAGTAAAAATCTTGGGGAAACTGAGCAAGAAATACAATCATTTTATACATAGAAACTTCATTACTCTACAAGACTCAAGACATATCTCGATTAATTCACTAACTGCAATCCAACGAAAGTCTTCAAAAAGCTAAGCAAGAAATTCAATCAATTAATAAAAAGAAACAGAAATGAGCCACACAAAAAAAAAAAAAAGGATCCTTACTTGAGCGAGAAGTTGCTTAATTGAGAAGAGAAAGAGATAGAATGAGAAACTTGTGAATCTGAACTGGGTTTAAACTGAGGGTCTTTAGAAGCAATTCTTGATGAGGCCTGCAAAGAATGAGGAGCAGTGGAAGCCATTTTAGGAGAGTTTCGTGGAGTTTGAATCTTGAAAATGGATTCCAACAGGAAAAAACAATAATTTTATAATGAAATGGATGGGTAGGTGGGTTGGTGGAAGAAGAGTTGAAGTTGTTGGAGTTGGAAGCCGATGTAGTTGGGCGAGGGGTGCATGGAAGGAAAATGAATCCAACAAAACGGAATGTGTTGGTGGTAGGAATTGCAACCGGGCGGAGGCGGCATGGGGCAGGTCAGGACAAATGTGAAATATCCTTATTTAAGGTCATGCTTAATTAATACAATCATGCTACACGTACAAGTTCAAAAATAGGTTGGACAAGTGTCAACTTGTGAATTGACAATTTGAAAAATTAAAACAAAAAACACCATTTGTTGCCAAATCACTATGTCTCCTTCTTCTTTTTTTAAACCTGGTTAAGTGGCTTTATTCTAATTCATATTGTTTATAATATTATAATTTTTTTCTTAAATTATCTGAAAAACATAAAACAAAATAAATATTTAAATATTTAGGCAAGACAAGGTAGTGAATTTAATTTACAATACCTAATTAATTTTTTTAATATTTATTATTGGTGAATTATAAATAAAATCAATAATTTGTCTAAATAAATAAATAATTGTATGGTGTCAAATGTAAGTAATCCGACGTGAATGTTTAAGCATTTGGAGAAATTATGTCTCTCAAAACTTTAGGGATCAACATTAGGCTAAAAAAACGTAAAAGCAATATAAATGGCATGTTCGGTAGTGATTATGAAAATTGAATTTTTTATCGTTAGAGAGAAAGTGGATCTCACTTGTGAGTAAAGAAATAAAAAATGACAGCTGAAATAATAAAATAACGGTCAAAAAATTAAATTTTTTGGGTAAAAAATTGCTTCCAAACATGGGCAAAAGTGCTCTCTAAAAAAAGCATCACATAGGGAGAAATAGCCAGTTTAGAGTTTCTTGTGCCATCAACTTATAATTGCCGACAAGGTTCAGTCGTATCAAGGTTATGTTCTTAGAAAGTGTTTATTGTGTTTTCTCTTTCTTTGTGTTATATGGTAGCACAGACTATATAGCTCTGTCTAAACTACGTTCAACGGACCATACTTGTTGTACATCATGCCATATAGCATGGTGTACAACCCCTTCACACATAAGGGGGCCCACCATTGATAAAAACTTGGTGAGCCCCCTCATGTGTGAGGGGGCCGTACACTATGTTGTAAGCATGGTGTACAACCACATAACTCTGATCAAAATCAAATTGACATAAAAAGATGGGCCAACAATGAGATTTAGGACTTGTATTTTTTTAGTAAAGTATCATTGAAGTCCCAGTGTTAGGCTCTATCACAAGATAGAGGGGTTAGAATTCTTGTACTATAAGATCGATAAAACAAAATAAATACAATGGAGGGGTAAAACCTAACATCCAATCAAAGTCCTGAAAACCAAAAGTAATAAATGAGAAGGTACTACAACTTTTACAAATATGAAGAATGAAAAAATAAAGTTTAGATACCCCTGCAAGTGAAAAGATCATAATAGTCAATCTGGACTAGGTTGCGCAGTCTTCGGTATAGATCAAGAGGACCGTTTTCCTGATAGCAGCGTATGTCCATCCCCCTACAAATAGTGCTACTTTATGTAATTCCATTACATCTTACATTAAAATACGAGGAATCATGTCAATTAAGAAGATGGATGATTTGTAAAGACCCATTGAAAACTGAAAGGAAGGGGTAAGGCAATCTTTTACAATAATCACGAGTCAAGACTTCACTATTTGAGTACCATATTCTTACAAGTCAATACAAAATAAATCCATGATTGTCATGAATTTCCCTTTTAATCAAGTTCGTACGAACATATAGTCAATATCATGCTTTTTTATTAGCTCATTCTCCTTCCATGGTGGTGTGACAAATGACAAATGATTTCCCTTATGATAAATATAGGAAAGAGTGTCATAGTCGAAGAAAAGTAGATGTTTGATATGACCGAGGATAGTATTAAATATACCACATCATCAACCACATGTTAAGCAATAAATTTCTAAAGAGGACTCTACCTCTATTCATGAGTTCGTAAGTCCAAGCCGACGTGTAATAAGAATCCCATGAAGAATGGCTCGTAGTTTAGCCTCACGTATAGGATAATCACCATAGGATGAGAACAAAGCATGAATGCATCATCTGGATTGATCCCAAACGATACCCCACCACTTACAAAATCATCCCCGGAGTACAGATTGACGTTGATATTCGTAGAATCTCACCCGTGGAGCATGCCAGAAAACTAGGATAGGAGAAGAAGGTGGCAGTGAGATAGAGAAATACAAAATAGAGGAACGATAATCAAGTCCATAGCAAATGCACAAACTGAAATAAACGACCTGCATGAAGAAAAGAAAGATAGTTCAATAGACACGCTCCATTTTATCCATCCCAAATTATTTCCAAAACAATTGATTTCTAAATTCTTTCTCACTCCAAAATATGTCAACATAATTTTCAAACTATTTTCAATTTTTAGTGTCCAGTCAAGAAATTAAGATCAAGCTTCGGTTCCCCGAAAGAATTAATATTACGCTATATTAATTTTAAAAGAAAAATTGTATCTTGAGAGACAATTATTTGATCCTGTTATTATCGGTACAATGAACTAAAGCCATCTTAAGGAATTTTTTATTGCATATCTTGGTTCATTCTAATTTGGAAGTCTTTGTTTTGCTCATTCTAATTTCCACACTTTTGCAAGTCTTTGTTTTGCTCATTTTCATGCATGTATCATGGTTTCTGTAAGTCAAATTTTCTTCCATAATTTTCATATTAATTTGAAAAATAGAGCATAAATAATGCAGCAAATTTTTCCAACAAACCAAAAAATAACCCAGCTTGTGACAATCTGCGTGAAACTTCCCTCTCAAGATATGAATTCCTCTCTTGCCTTCAAAGCAGTGGCGGAGCCAGGGAGGCCGCCCATGCTGGTTCCATCGAAAATTTATATTTAGGGCGAACCACCTTTTTTCAGATGAAAATGAATGGTATAAGAACTGGAAATCTCACATTAATTAAAAGTGCTGCCAACCATTTGCTGTTTCCACCTTTCATAAAATTCAATATACCTGAGAGTGTAGCTATTAAATGTCCTGAGAGAAGAAATAGCCCATAAATGGCCATTTTAAGCCACTGATTGTATGGTCAAGGCCGACTAGCAGAAAATTTATGATGGCCTTCTGTATTTTCAGGTTGATAATTTGCTGCTTCTTCTTCAAATTTCTGATGATCCGCTGAGATTATGCAACACTTAAGTCTTAACTAAGAAAATAGTGACAATTTCCCAACAATCTCGAACGATAGTTTGCGATGAAGAAAGAAACTACAATGGCTACGATCAAGTCGATGATTCGGATCTTGTTTTGATCGTTCTGATGGGACGAATTCCGCAAAAGTAATCTGGAACATTTTTGGACAAAATATTTCCATTGAAGAATGAAAGGATTGAATCCGGTTTGGTAAGACGAAATCATGTTCGATCTTCGCACATTCAAAATGTATGTTTGTGAATATAATATGCACATGTTTCTTAAAAAAAAATTATATATATTTGCGAAAGTGGAATATAGAAAAAGGTAGAAATCGTTTGATGGCCAGACATAAATGAATGATGCCGTTCGCTGATAAGCACTTTATTCCAAATCTGTATGCATGCTTTCTGCCAATTGCCGACTGTTGTAGGACATGTTGAATTCATGTGTTAAAAGTTTGTTAAAGATGAGACAATCCAAACATTAATTGACATTTAATTAGACACACGCCTCTAAATGTTCTTGCACTTAATGCATGTGTTTGTTGAAGAAAATCATACTCTCTCATGCACCAGTGTGTATACTTTCTAATTGTTATTATAGTTGAATGGTCAAAATGGTGGGTAATGGATATAAATCTTTCCTACCAAAATACCAGTTTGGCAGTTGGTAAGATGGTGACTGATTATTGTTTTAAATGCATGGCTGCCAATGACTATAAATTTCAACAAGTGCTTGTGGTGACTTTTCAATTTTTTTTAATGCAATTTAAACCAATTGTATTTTTTTGGCCGGTGACTGTTCGGTGATGCGAAAGTAATCCGATGTTAATTCCCAATTCTTTCCTTAAGTAATCTAACGTCAAATTGATTATCCCTAATAAAGTGACATGTATATTCACTAAATGGGATCTTTATATTAGTCACTGGTACAACCCCAATGGTGTTTACTATTGAGGTGCATGTTTGCACAAAAGTTATGTATATATATTTTATATATAAATAAATTGATAATGATCAATAACTTATTTTGCACAAATGCATGGAGGAAATCTATGTTCTTTTGTTTGGAGAATATTTGAAATATATTATCCGCACTTGCTCACTTGAGGATGCATGTTTAGCGTCCACCCATATGGTCAAATGGGCAAAATTTTGATAGCAAATTAATTTAAGGTATAAATTGCTTGCCCTATTATTGGGATATGGAAACATTTTATGAAAGACAAATGATGTCCATAGTTAGTGATGATGCCAGATATCTTTGAAAAAATGAATATAAAAAAAATCTTATGCAAAATTAAATTTGCATATGAAAAATGATCTTGTCCAAATAAGAATAAGGTAAATATGTACCTTATTATTTGATGATATGGTGATATGTAATCAATTGAATTTGATTGGAGAAGTTGTAATTCTTGTAAATCAAGATGGTTGATCTTCTTCATTGATTGAATTTGACTTCAATCTCACCATAATCGTCACCAAGAAAAACATGAAGATTATTGGAAATATATCAAAGTTGTACCTTGATGATTGTTGAACCTAAAAGCTATAAAATAGCATCAGAACAATCAGAATGGAGAAAAGCTATAGATGAAGAAATAAAAATGATCGAGAAAAATAACATTTGAGAGCTTGTAGATCTTCCTCAAGATAAAGAAGTTATAGGAGTTAATTGGGTTTACAAGACGAAGCTTAATACTGATAACTCAATCCAAAAATATAAAGCAAGAGTAGTCGCCAAAGAATACTCACAAGAGTTTGGCATCAACTACACTGAGACATTTGTTCCAGTTACACGTCTTGACGCTATAAAGGTGTTGATTGCACTAACTGCACATAAAAAGTGGAAGATTTACTAGCTAAACGTCAAATCAGCATTTTTTAATGGTTATTTGGAAGAAGAAATTTATATAGAGCAACCTC